TTCTCCCTCCCTGCCCCTTTGTCTCTCCACTCAGACTCTAATCCGAATATTTTCCTCCAAGTTTAAGGTGGAGCAGGGTTTGAATCTGATAGCTCACCTTCATCTTTTGTTGAGATCTATAGTTCTCCAGCCCCAGAAATATCTCCATATGTTCATAGTGTGATGCATGATCACCGGAACTACTCTGCCTTTACGTCTGTATAAAAGAATTACATATATACGTATAGACATATGTTCAGACATACTCCATTTCAATCGAATTTATTCGATTACGTCGATTTTACTGAATTTCATATTCATCGCTTCCGTTCTCCTTGGTTAAATCTCGTCTGTTTCGCCGACTTTGATCCATTTCTTCAACTTTTGTTTGAATGTACTCATTATCATTAACTGCTTACATTATATTTATTTAATCATCAGCTAACAGACATTTTAGTTTGCACAGATGTGCTTCAGCTTTCACAGTAGCCCCCCCCCCTTCTGTCGAACTAATATAATATACGAATATTTGCATTGTACAAAGTATTTTGCAAGTAATCACCCTTCAAAAAATGCCCATAAAATCTTTATACGTCAACTTTAAGAAATATGGCTATTATTAACATTAATACAGCAATTATAAGGAAAATAAGCAACAGACGATAACGAAATTGCTATATATTTACTGAAATTCAAAGAGTAAATACGCTATTAGCGTTATCTAGATTTCGCAAAGACCCATGGTCATTATTTCTAACAAAAAAACAGCTGCCTTTATTTGAACAGAAAAAGATCGATAACACGCAAAACCGTGCTAGACCCAAATAGAGTAATATTTTTATATTTATGTTCATTATTATCAGATGACGAGAGAAAACTGGAAGATACAAGTACATAATTCCTGATCTACTGATAAATGAAACATTTTACTGATAGTCTGTGAAAATACTGCCCACGGCTAACTACTTAAGCCAACGGTAAAACAAGGTAGCAATACATGCACATGGGTTAAGAGAGACAGGGGAAAACAGAAGGGGTAGAAATGAACTGGACATGCATGGTCAGATGAGAAAACATTTAAGTGCGTGACTAACGTAAGGTAGAAGATATAGTTCCAGACATTACTACAGAGCAGAAGAGACGCAACGAGCATGCTGGGGTCAGACAAAATGGGCGAAAAGAGGTGGTTGAATAAAAGATGAAATTTTTGTTCTCTTGGAGAAGGAAAATTATGACGTGGGTACTCTTTGCTAAGTATAATTAGAACGAACAAGTCAAATAGGATTAGATGGGCAGGGCATGTAGCACGAATTGTGTGAATATGAATGCATATAGGATATTGGTGGGAGAGCCAGAAAGAAAGAGACCACTAGGAAGACCAAGACGTAAGTGTGTGGATAATAATAAAATGGATCTTAGAGTGATAGGATGGGGTTGTATGGACTCAATCGATGTGGCTCAGGATAGGGACCAGTGGAGGGCTCTTGTGAACATGGTAATGAACCTTTGGGTTCCGTACAATGTTGGGAAGTTCCTGAGTAACTGCACACCTGGTGGCTTCTCAAGAGGAGCTCAGCTCCATGAAGTTAGTTATAGGCAGTAGTAGGCCTATCCACGATACGAAGGGAAAAACTCTGAATAAAATACATCAATTGTGAAGAAGCTGGATAACTTAAATGTGAAAAGAGACGATTTCTCCTTGAAATAATTTTCTGCCTAGCAAATATCAATTTGTATTTCAGAATCTGTTTACGCTAGGAGAAATGTTCTGATTCGCGTTGTCATTCTCTATCCCTGTAGCAGGCCGCGAAGGCCCATAGGGTCGTCAGACGTCAAGGTTCCTACATTTTCTAGATATTCGGCTCACAGATTGCGGTAAGGTTGTCAGCCTTATGCGCCGGCCGCCTTTACCCCCCAGGACCATAGTGCGGCTGGGAAAATTAGGTAAATTGAAAAAATCCACCTCATCGGGAATCGATCCCGTGACCTTCCGGCTTGTAGCATAGTGCCTCATCCAACTACGTTACCGCGTGTCCTCCAGTAACACGTTCTATCGAAGTTTAGGTTTTTATGTAAGGATCAGTTTAGATGAGGGTTTCCCAAGTGTGGCCACTGTGCCCTCATGCGTTCAGCACCTGTAGAAGGGAACGCAATTCTCAAAGAACTATTGGTGTGAGGAGTTGTCACTTGTCACATTGCCCCCAGCACAGCATGGGGACTGCAATATCGAAAGAACTGCTTATCGGTGAAAAGAAATATCGTCGCAGAGTTTAGTACGTTCTTGCTGTACACAAAAATAGAGCTCGCAGGCAAATTTATTGATAAATATAGAAAGCAGCGTTTAAAAGTATAACATTGCTGAGAGCTCAGTATATTTTATTCAGTCGCTGCGGCATTATATAAATATTGGCCAACTTGATCGTTAGGGATAAGGCGATATTCCCGGTGTTACGGGAAATGCTATGTGCAGTGCCACGTGTAAATCTGCGATAGAAGTACTTGCTAAATTAGTGTTCCCTTATAGTACGGTCATGTGATTTGTGTCTGTCCTTGTGTATATATGTAATCGTTATATATTTAATTCTTTCATCTTCACTGCTCCCTTTTTTTCTTATATTTATTCTCCGTTTCTTGTATTTTACCATCCATCCATTAGTTAACTCCGTATTGTTTTTGTGTCTCAAATTGTGTGCAAATTGGAAAAATGTGTTCTCATACATTTTTTTGACGGGCCTGTCTGGTAGCCGAACGGGCTGAGGCATGTATTGTCTTTGCTTGTTCGTAAGCGGGATCGTGGGTTTGAATCCCCTACAATGCATGGATGTTTGGTATGTGTATATGTTTATTGTGTTTGTGTTGTCCTGTCTTTAGGTAGAGGTCTTTTTACGAATGAATTAAGTAAGTAAGTAAGTAAGTAAGTTCATTTGACCATATCGCAATGACTGAACATAAAAAGATCCGTCTGCAGGTCATGTGCTATCTATATAAAACTGCAAAATGCAGTCTGTTGATAACAAAATGAAAGAAAAGAAGGTGTGCGTTGTGTGAGTTATTGTTGTAGCCTACTTCGCTGTCACTTCCTGTGGGAGCATATCTCAAGAACATAACACCGCAAGCAGCAGAACAACCCGTGTCAGCAAAGCAACGGGGTGTACATGTAACCGCTGGGATTGATGCACCGCTACAGGTGGCGCTATCTTTCCAAAGTTATTTTATTGTAAGACGACAGAACATGCATGCATATTATTGCACGTAATGCATATGCAAGTACATTCATGCTGGGCATGCTATCAGATTCTGGCACTTGTGACGCGACTGAACGGCTTTCAACTTACACAAGAAGCTAGTCTAAAATGAAAATAAAAAATGTCATTCCCTTAACGCTGGAAGCTTTACAGGTTTCGGTTCGTAAAAGATGGACGTCAATAGATGTTTATTCACGTTTTTTATTATCAGAAACCAGAGGTAGACTGTTCCTTACAGAAAAACAACAAACCAATTAGTGAAAAAGTTTGATAATATTTTTGTATCTAGTATCTGTCTTTGCCGATCACAATGGCAGTGCGGTCTAAACCATGAACTGTCTTCGCCCCCTCAAACACAGAGATCGTGGGTTCGAATCCCGCTCGAAGCATGAATGTCGTGTGCGTTTATTGTGCGTGTAGGTAGTGGCCTTGCGACGGGCTCATCCCCCGTCTAAGGCGCTCTACCGGCTATGTATTGATTATGAAAATAAAAATGCTGCTAAAGTCCAACAGAAGGACTTCAGAGCTTTAGTTGAATACATAATGTCTGTCCAGATAGGGGTCTATGTTCTTTGAACTTATTCTCGTGGGAAGAAAGGACATTACGAATTCTTCACGCAATGTACAATGGACGTGTAATGGGAGGGTGGATTCTGTATCCATGTTTCTTCCTCGATGCTACTAACGCGAATTCCATCGAACGTAATACTTGGACCTGTACTAAAATTTTTGTAAAAGTTATGCCTTATCTAGCAAAAGAAAAGAGGAGAACTAATTCATCACTTCACTTAGGTGATGCTGGAAATGCGCCTTGACATGGTTATCTATATATATACATTTATGCATACGTGAACGAATTACGAAAATGGCAAAGAATACACTCGTAAGACGTACAAGTGTATCAGTATTTCAGGATTAGTAAAGGAGAATTATTTGTGTATTTAGATAAGCAGACAATTGCTTAATTTGTCTTTGTCTGTTTCACCTTCGTAACACAAAATGGAACTTGTCCTGCGGAGTCAGAAAATGTATATATTTGTGGCACAATTTCGCGTTGGATTCTGACTTCGCAAGAAGTTTATCGAAACTTGTCATTTTGTGATCACTTTAGATAAGTTTCACTGCCAGTTTACCTTTGCACATCTCGGAGCGGCAGGCAGGGCATCCCACGGAGAAGCATAAATTCATCTGTCAGAGCTTGTCCACATGTTTCTGTCAGCGCTCACCTTTTCGTGTCTTTCTTGAAGATTTATTGTCGCTACCAATGCAAGAGATTATATTGCTGTCTTTTCAAAAATCAACTGCCTCCCAGACATTGTATGCATTCAGCTGTTGAAGGCTTCGAGTAGTGGGAGCCAGGATAGCTCAGTCGGTGTAGGGACGGGCTACAGTCTGGACGGCCGGGGTTCAATTCCCGGCAGAAATAGGTGATCTTTCTCTACTCCATATCTTCCAGACCGGCTCTGGTGCTCACCACAGCTTCCTGTCAAAGAAGAACTTGGGTCTATATTCCTGTGTGTAATGTGGCCGGCTCGTTCAGCTGACCACTCATCTCCATCTAGTGCCAAGGTCAAGAAGGGTGGAGCTACACTTCAACTCCCCCGTGCGAGTATGTCCTCATGGCATAGCGTTTAATTAAATAAGAACAGGGACATATTTACCTTAAGTTCCAGTAGCTCTGTGTGGAAGCCACTGCTTGGGATACTTCCTGTCTAGGAGCATGCTAACCGTACTACAGTCTGCACAGTCAACTTTCAAGCTGATGTTTGTTAACAGAGGTTCGAGTGGCCGGTGGCTCGCCCCGTGGAGAGTCATGAGGTGCTGCAGATCCAGCTGCTGGCCTACAATCGCTACTTCAGCAACAAGGTGCTCGGCACTTACGGACTGGTGCTACAGAAGTTGGTGCAAGACGGACACCTCATGGTGACAGACACACTGCTCGACCTCAACAACAAGCCGTTACCGGTGAGTCACTCTGACGCCGTGTCTTGCTCTTAATTTTCTTATACGTCTATCTTAATTTACATCTTACTTTAATCCATACTGACGAATCCTAGAATCAAACAAAGAATGGTTAATCCCAGTTGCTAATAAAGGAAATCATATTTTACACTGTAATTTCTTAAACGACGATCTTCTGACAGTAACTACCACCAGGACATTGCCATTTTTTAGCCTACTTTACTTATTTATAAAAATGAATTTATGGGTATGCGATTTCCATGCTGTCGGGTGTGTCTGTGTATTCCTTCCTATCAACTTTTCAATACCTGAACCAATCTTTATGAAACTTGATACGTACTGGTATGTTGTGTCTCAGAGGCGTACTTCATAAATCCCTCCCCTCAGTCTATGTGCATGTAGGGGCATGAATCTCTCGTTGCCAGGAAACGGCTCGGTAAAAAGATACCACAGCAATGAATACACAAGCAACAATGGCAATGTCTAACGCGTCTTCTTCTATGTAGGCCGTGTCATATCAGGGATAATAGACGATCAGTTCTTCCCAGAACTTCTTGTTTATTCTGCAAAGAAGACAGTGAAGAGAAGGAACACTTCCGGGTTGGATCCTTTAGGAATCCACTCGTCTAAATAACATTTCCAGAATGCCGAAGCAACTCGATTGGGGGAAGTCACGTTCAGTTTTCCGACAGCACCTGCAATTACGGAGCCCAGATAACGCAGTCTACCAGCGACTGACTACGGGCTGGACGACCGAGTTGTCGCAGTTCGAGTCCCTGCAGGGTCAAAATTTTATCTTCTCCATGTTGTCCAGACCGGTTCTGGGACCCACCCAACTTTCTACCCAATGGGCGCGGGGGGGGGGGGAAAGAGGCCCGGGGGAGGGAACGGCCCCACCACCCCCAACTTTCTACCCAATGGGCGCGGGGGGGGGGGTAAAGCGGCCGGGGCGTGAAACTGACCACTCACCTTCTAATAGTTCTGAGGTCAAGAAAATGTGGAACTATACATCCACACCCCCATACGCTTCATGGTGTAGTGCTTAATTAGGTAAGCACAGGGACAACTTTATCTTTACTGGCAATTACAGAATTACATGAATAAATTGAAATTGGCCCTGACGATGTGTCTGTGTTCAGATAAATGGACCTCAATGGCGCTGAATTCTGATTTCACAGTGAGTCCCGGAATAGGTAAATGACAGATTCAACACAGGGCCAGATAATCCTCAAAGAGCTGCTGTACTGTCCGTCTGAATCTTCACGAGGTCCCGTTTTGCGGGTTGCGGAAAGGAGAGTGGCTGTTGTTTATGCATTAGGAGTTTGGCCGACCCTGCTCCACGGGTCGAAAGAAAACTTTCTTTGGGAATATATGCGAATTGAAGCTTTCACGGCGGCAGCGTACAATAGAAGCTTCTTGTATTCTGTTGTAACGTGTAACAGTCTGTAGAGGAAGAGGAGGGATTATGGAGCGCAGGGCCATTGTTTTTTTCAGTGTACATCTCGCCGTACCGACCGACATGCCAGAGCGTGCCGAATTCCTTCCCACAACAGACTTAGGAAAACCGACGCAAACCTATTCCATCTAATGACTAATTTATTATCTTTCTTTTTTCCTTGGCACTACAGCCCCAGATTGCCTAGGCCTACCTCCATGAACTTCTCCGTTCACATCGGTTTTTCTAGATCTCACACATTCGGTAGGACCCCTTGGGCGGGTGATCAGCTCGTCGCAAGGCCTCTACCTGTACACAAACACAGAAAAACGCACACACACAAACTAAACATTCATAGCCTGAGTGGGATTCGAAACCACGATCCCGGTTACCAAGCGAGCGAAAACAGTAGGAATAATTTTACCTTTCATAATAATTTCAATTACTATGTAATTTTCCACTTCTAAAGCAGACTTAATTTGTCGTATGAAAGGGTAATTAATTATCTAGCTTTCACAGTCACCGACTCATTCTCTACTGCAGGCGCTGTGTGCCTGTAGCATTGAATGGTGAGTTTGGAGGAAGGAAAAAGCAGTTGTCGTGATCTGCCTTTACGCACAACGCCATTTTCCTAGAAAGAAAGCAAGTCTTTGAAGGGAAAATTGACTTTATGGCCTCAGAAAAATATGCTGAATGAGTGATAAGCACTTAATGTAATAAAAGCAGAAAGGTTTGGGATTATTGAATTTGTCCAAATGGGAGTACGATGAGACAGTACATCAGCTATTCATAGACTTCAAGAAAGCCTATGATTTAGTTAGGAGGGAAGTATTGTACAGTATTCTGATAGAGTTTGGGATACCCATGAAACTAGTTAGGTTGATTAAAATGTGTTTAAACGAAACGTATAGTAAAGTCTGTGTAGGTAAACATTTGTCTGATAAATTTCCTATCCAGAATGGTTTAAAACAAGGAGATGCTTTATCGCCACTCCTTTTCAACTTTGCCTTAGAATATGCAATTAGGAAAGTCCAGGGAAGCCAGGTGGGACTGAAACTAAACGGGACACACCAGTTGTTGGTCTACGCTGATGATGTAGATCTACTGGGTGATAATGTAGATACCATAAAGAAAAACACACAAACTTTAATTGACGCAAGTAAAGAGGTTGGTCTAGAAGTAAACGCAGAGAAAACTAAGTATATGTTACTGTCTCGTCACCAAAATGCAGGGCGAAATCATGACATAAAGATAGGAAACAGATGTTTTGAAAATGTGGCACAGTTCAGATATTTGGGAACAACGATAACAGATTGAAACCTGATTCAGGAGGAAATTAAGAGGCGATTGAACTCGGGTAATGCTTGCTACCATTCAGTCCAGAACCTTGTGTCTTCTTATCTGCTGTCCAAGAACATAAAAGTTATAATATAAAAAACTATAATTTTGCCTGTGGTTCGGTTCTGTATGGGGGTGTGAAAATTGGTCTCTGACATTAAGGGAGGAACATAGACTGAGGGTGTTTGAGAACAGGGTGTTGAGGAGAATATTTGGACCGAAGAGAGATGAAGTGACNAGAATGGATCTTAGAGAGATAGGATGGGATGGTATGGACTGGATAGATCTGGCTCAGGATAGGGACCAGTGGAGGGCTCCTGTGAACATGGTGATGAACCTTCGGGTTCCATAAAATGCAGGAAAATTCTAGAGTAGCTGCAGAATTGGCGGCTCCTCCAGAAGGGCTCAGCTCCATGAGTAAGTAAGTAAGTAAGTAAGTAAGTGAGTAAGTCAGTCCAAAAACCCAAGTAGGAGGGAATGAATGAAAAAATGATGCAGACGGGAACTATAAAAGAAATAAGAAAGGATTGAAGTAGGAACGAAAGCAGGAAATAGAGAAAGAAAGAGAGAAGGCAGAAAGGAAGAAAACGAGAAAGATAGAGTTACGTTATTCTCAAGCACAATAGATCACTGTAGGTCGCGGTGCAAGGGCCGAGAAGGCCCACCCCTTATACATTCATATACATACTTTACTCTCAGCCATGATGAAATGAGAATGACGTCAATTTCCAGTGGAAAGTAACTGCTTTATTTCGCTGTTTCCGGCTCGTATCCTGCTGAATAATAACGGCTGAGTTAAGCCTCATCCATTCAAATGCAGATGGCATTGCGGCGCAGCTGAAAGAACCCTAATTTTGCCCAGATGTTAAATGTGAAGACGAGGAAATTCCTAGCTTCTCTACGGCCATCATTCTTTCTGGAGAATTTAATGTGCGAGGAAGCGAGGAAGCGAGGAAGGGAGACGCTGTCACAGCACATCTGCATGAGGATCTCACACATGACGTTAATGTTCCTAGGAATGTACCCTTACCAATAAGAGCGCAAACACGTACACATACGTACACGTATAATAAAGCTGAATATTTTTCATTCGTTAATTTGCCTACCTCAGTGGCTTCCTTTTTTAGTTATTGTATGTACAAATTTGTTTTTGCAAATTTAAATACACTAGATGCACCACAGTGCTCAGATGTCATTGGATATTTTTCAGTTGACATAATCATTCCAGCCGCGCTATGGTCCTGGGGCCGATCAGCCTCTAACAGAAATGAGTACCAGGAATATTCTTGGAATGTTCTTGGGTGTATGTAAAGGGTGGGTCATAAAAGCTATGGCTTCACAATCACACAGGATGTGTTCTTGGGGAGTAAAGCGCAGCCGGCGTGTAAGTCTGACAACCTTACCGCCATCTATGAGCCCTTTGTCTAGAAAATGTGGGAACCTCAACATCTCACAATCCTACGGGCCTCCACGGCCTGTTACAGGGATACCTTTACTTTACTTACTTACTTACTTACTTACTTATAGACCTATCACTCTTAACGTCATCACTAGATGGAAGTGAGTGGTCAGCTTCACGACCGTCCTGCTTAACCTCCAGGGGAACAGCTCCCTGTCTCCATTGTATAGAAGCTGGGTGGCCCTAGAGCCAAGAGAAGAAAATAAGCTTTTACTTCTGCCGGGAATCGAACCCCGGTCGTCTAGCCAGTACTCCGCTGCTATACTGACTGGGCTATTATGGCAGCAATATTAATGGTGCAAGCATAATGTTGCCAAGAAATCTGTTCTGATGGTTACATGCAATTTCGGAACTTGGGGTTTTTCTTTTTAAACGAATCGTTCTTTACTGTGTTCTTGGCAACTTTTCAAATAAATGTAACTAAGAAAGTCAGCGTAACACTGTGAAGGTGAAAACTGTTAACAGTATATTCATGGTGATAGCGAGTTTATGGAAATTGTAATTACAGACGTTTCTTGGTGTAAATTCTAAGTTCCATACTTCATCGAAATGTAGTTTAGTAGACAAAACATGCGGAAATATGGACAGGTAAGACCTGACCGTAACATATTCACTTTATACGCTTCGCGGAAAGAACGACAGTGCAGGAGACAATTTATAGATTGCATCTTCTGCAGACCCCAAGGGACTGCTAAACGCGTGCGTAGACTGAAGCACTGAAAGGGCAATTTGTGGCCCTAATTCAGCTTACGGTCCTTCTCTTGGGTCATT